GACAAAATCTACCACCAAAAGAAAGAAAAAGGGAGATAACACACAACCTTGTCTCACTCCACTGTATACATTAAAGTACTCCGTGGTCCCAATGTTAGTTTTTACACAACTGCTGGAGTTTTCATAAAGACTTTTGAATATGTTTATAAATTTTTCTGGTACACCATATAGTCCCACAATTTTCCACAACGTTTCTCGATGGACACTATCAAAGTCTTTACGGAAATCGAAAAAGTTTAAGTTCATTTGACCTTTAAATTTTAAAGATTGTTCTATGATGTTTCGTAAGGTAAATATCTGTTCAGTGCATGATCTTCCGCTTCTGAATCCAGTCTGTTTTTCCCTTAATAAGGCGTCCACTTCATCTTTCAACCTTTCTAATAATATATAACAAAAAGCTTTACCAGGTATTGATAGCAAAGAAATTCCTCTCCAGTTGTTACAATCACTTAGGTCTCCTTTTTTCGGAATAGTAACAATCACACCCTGACCCCATTCTGATGGAATAGTTTCCTGTCTTCAAATATTGTTAAAAATATTTAATAACTCCAGTTCCAACGCTTGACCTCCGTTCTTCAGTAATTCAGGTTGCAGCTCATCTGACCCTGCTGCTTTGTTGTTTTTCAAATTTTGCAACGCTCTTCTAGCTTCTTCTAGAGATATGTCATTTAGGTTCACGTTCAAAATTGCTCTGACATTTTCATTAGATAAGTCTAACAAAATATCAGGTTCACATTGGTTCAGGACTTCATTAAAATGTTCTTTCCACCTTTCCAGTTGTTCTCTTTCCGTAGTCAGTCTCGTGCCATTTTTCGCTTTAATAGGTACACCTTCACTACTTTTAAAACCAGATGTAAGCTCTTTTGTTATCTTATATATAGTTTTACTATCACCTCTATCTGCAGCTTCCTGCGCTTTATTCCCTTTATCTTCAATCCATTGATTCTTATCATTCTTACACCTCCTTTTCACTTCTCTATCTAGTTGGTTATATCGCTCAGCTAAGTTACCGTAATCCTGTCTAGTTGCTGCTTCTCTCAGTTGTTTGACCCTTTTCCTTTCATCAATCACCGTCCACGTACCATCACTTATCCACCTTTCTCTATTGGTTCCTCTTCTTCTACCCAATACTTCTTCGGCCACTTCACGAATCTTCTTTTTAAAACCTTCCCAATGTGTCTCTATGTCCTCTAGATTTTCAAGGACTTCGAATTTATTACGCAACTTAAGTTGAAACTCTTCTGCCACCCTAGGATCTTTTAACTTATTCACTGCAAAAGCCTTAGGTTTCTTAGTCTTCTGCTGCACTTTAAATTTCACTTTGAACTTTCCGATTACTAAGTTATGATCTGAACCAACGTCTGCTCCTCTGTATGATCTTGCGTTTGTGTTGGAAGAAGGAATTGCCAATGCAAAGTCCATTCTACTGGCTTCCATTCCACCAAAGCTTTGTCAGCTCTTTTGCTCATCATCATTCCAACTCCGTTTACTGCTTGCTGTTCATGACCTGACCACAAGATGGTAACTTCTTCAGACTGACTACGACCACATCCACTCCACCTCATCTCTGCTAAACTAAGAATGTCTAGTTTGTATCGTTTCATCTGTCGAATTACTTGCTGGGTTTTCCCAGTCTGGAGCATGGTCCTAACGTACCGGAATGGCTACTTCTCGTTGTTTCTTTAGCAATATTGGATAACGACGTGCAGTTGCTAGCACCACGGTCGTCCCTCCTCCTTTCTCAAATGGGCTTGGGACCGTCTTATCGCATAGTTAGAAGAAAAGAAAAATTACGATAGTTATAGAACAATGTTTGCTATGTGCATGTTATTAGTCTGTGTTCTTAGGTGTTATTAGTCTGTGTTCTTAGGTGTTATTAGTATGTGTTCTTAGGTGCATTATTTAATTAATTTTTTTTGTAAACCGTTAACAGAAAAAAATAGTCTTGACTTAAGATTCATTAACAGAGGTGAGCAAAAAACAAGAAGGCCTATGTTTTTACATGTATTCTTTGTTTATTATTATAAAAGTAAAATGTAAAAATTGGAAACTTAATAGGTTAGATTAGGTAATATAATGAAAAACTAATAATAATAATAATTCTTCACAAGGTATGCTCCTGAGTAGCTCGTGTGATACGTAATTCGATACCGTAACGTAAGTTATACGTTCTCCGGGTGATTAACGAGTTATGTGGGGGGATTATTAGTAAAGTACGGTTCAAAGGGCAATGAAATTTAAGTACAAACAGGTGTATACTGTTAAAAGCCTTAAGCTATTTAGGAAAACGATTGTAGTTTCCTGTTTCAGATTTCAGTTATTCTAGAAAGAAAAGGGGTAATTTTGATTTATTTCGTATTTTTCATAATAGTTACGGGTTGCTCAAATTGACCAAATGTGTTTAGAGTTAGAGTTGAAAAAATAATAGATAAAACGTAAAGTTTTACTGAAATAGAATATTTGATATTTATTTAGAAGGTCTGAGAGGTTGTGTAAATGAAATCTGAAAGTTTTCAGATAAGCAAAAATACTTTAAATCTGAACATAAAAATCATTTTGCACTCAGGGCAGTAAACATTTTTATTCCGCATATTCACATACAAATCTTTAGTAAAAATACTCAATTAAAAATCTGGTTTTTAGTGTACAAAAGACTTGTAATGTTTACTAAAAGCTTGTCAAATTTCGTGAAGATACACAAAACATATTAAACGTTATAGTATGGCAACCTCGATGGTCATTTTGGATCACGAACTCGTTCGAAGCGACCGAGCCGAGAGAAATCGAGAGCCTCCAGTACAAAAAATATCCATAAACGAAAAAAAAATTAAAGACAGCTTGAATGTTATACCTTACTTCATCTTTGTCTTACTTTGTCTATCAGTGAATAACCTTAGACCTTCAAAGGTATATTTTAGTTGGAAGGTGTTAAGGAAATGTTTTAAATTTCAATACATGTTTTGTTTTATGGTATGCCCTCTTCCTTGAAACACAACACAATAAAACTGCCATCCATGCAGTTTTAATGATTCATGCTGAAAATTTTCAGTATGAAATGCTACTAAAATTTTAGGCTTATAAATAATCGTCAAGTTGTATACTTTTAAAAATACGATATTATAACACATGTCGTAAGGGCAAATTGGATAACATTTTGTACTAGGGGAAGGATCACCAAAAATTGACCTCGGAATTCGACTGCGGAAATGATATTAAACAAAACTACTAATGATAAGGATTTCAGATTTTTTTAGAGCAAAATGATAAGTATGCAGAAAAATATGGCTACATGAAGATCGATGTATCCGTAATGTTAGCTATATATTAAGAATATTAGATAACTAACACTGCAATTATGAAAAAAAATATATGTATATTATTAAATAAAGCAATAATTGTATGCATGATTGTGTAAGATACTAGAGCATATTTCGTTAATACTGAAATGCTTTATCAATAGAATTAACTCTCTATACCTGAGCGGACACTCCCAGTGTCTGTCCAAAAATCCCGATTTACCAATTGGATGGTAACAACATTTGATAATATTTCTATCTCTTTGGCTGGAAATTAGTTCAAACCATCTTATTATCCACCTTTTATAAATAGACTGGAAGTTCTGTGAAGCACTGTCGTTTGTTTTGAAACACATTTCAAACCAATAAGTTGTGTTTGAGACCGATTTTTTCAGTGTTTGCTTGTCAAGTCTAACAATTTCCATCAGTTGTAAAAAAAATGGCGAGTGTAAAGAAGCCACCGAAACGTTTTACTGTTGAGCCAGCAATGAGACTGTTCAATCAGTTAGATGAAGGAGGGAGTGATGACGATGGTGATTCTGATCTTGACTTTGGAAGAGACTCTAGTGATGAAAGCAACTCAGAATAGTCATCGAGATCCAGTTCCAGTGCTTCTCAATCACCTGATCAGAGGAGATCATCGCTCCAAGCCGAACCTAATGGTACAAAAAGGCCACGAAAGCGATCTCCAGTTAGACCTGATCCACCTCTTAAATGTATGTCCACTACCAGAGCCAGAGATAATAATTGTGTTGAGGTACACAGCGTGGTCACAAGTAAATAGACATCACCTTTTCAGACAAAATGAAAATTTTCAGTCATATTCACATGAATTGATATATTTATAATTTAATTAATATCTAGTGGATCTTCCTTTCGCTTCGTGGAGTTCGTTGATCCTTTGGGGCATCGTGAGAATCATCTCGTCAGTTTTAGATTATG